AACTGGATATCTTTCACCATTTACCTACAATTTTCTGGAGATTTTAATTAAGGTGTTTATCCAGTTGTAATGGCCTTTATTCCATAGCAAAACAAGCTCTGCCCATAGAAACTCGGAGATGTTTAGAGTACTATGTCTTCAGGGAGGCGTCCGTCGTACAGCACATGGGACTTCCTAATGCTAATCACGTATATGTTAGGAACGTAGGGAGAAAGCCCGCCAATCATTGGCTACAAAAGCCTTTGTCACATTGCTAACGAAGGATCAGTCAATCAAGAATGTAATGCATTGTATTGGTGCTCTGTTTACGACGTATCCAGTAGAATGTGTTATTTGATCACAAATCAGTCTATTTATAACTCTAAACGTCAAAAAAAGGTATACTTGTCACGTGACATATAGTCACTGGTCACATGACCAAGACGGGTGATGGTGTTTGACCAGAACAGTGATGGTGTTTAACCAGTACAGCGATGGTGTTTAACCAGTACAGTGACGGTGTTTAAACAGTACAGTGACGGTGTTTAACCAGTACAGTGACGGTGTTTAACCAGTACAGTGATGGTGTTTAACCAGTACAGTGATGGTGTTTAGTCAGTACAGTGACGGTGTTTAACCAATTCAGTGATGGTGTTTAACCAGTTCAGTGACGGTGTTTAACCAGTACAGTGACGGTGTTTAGTCAGTACAGTGATGGTGTTTAACCAGTATTTGTATTTTGCATCTTGTTAAATGAAGCCACACAGTATATGTAGTGTGGATTCAATACAATTGATACATTTGGTCGTTTTTAATAAATCGTCCATTTTATAGCCCACAGACATCTAAAGGCAATTTGAAACGCTAGTAAATAACATATCAATGGAATTGTGAAACCCTAATGTCATACACACTCGTGTTCTCAATATAAAGCAATCCACAGAAATATCATTCGAAACAATTTTTGTTCGTCTATTCGGTAAAATGTCTTCGCTCGTTCGTTACAAAATCTCTCCAGCTTACCGTGTATATGCCCAACATTAATCTCCAATGTTAGCTCGCTTGATAGCCGTTTATCAGAGTTAACTCGCGGAATATACATGTATATGTAGACTTATGGTATTGATCAAGATGTCTGCCACAACTCGATTCTCACGAATTATATAATAAAACGTTTTAGCATTGATTTCTATATCTTTTGTCCGGTATCCCCAGCCTAGATCCACTCTTACCAATTTCCTTGCACATGGCTTCCAATTAAATGGTAATGACAAATTTCCCACTGAAACAAATTCAGCAATAACGCCATATTATGTGAACTGAGCAATATCACTGACGAGAGTGCTGTAGAGTTGTTCACGAGAACAAGGCATTTTGTCGTGCTGAGAAGCGTCGTTATTAACAATCAGACGTTTTTAAGTGTGTTGACCGCCAACATTTCCTTGGCTGTACTTTAACATGATCACGTGATACTGTAAATACAGAAATAACTCTAAATACGGATGTAGCAGTGTAAATCTTCGATGGGAAAATCTAAAAACATATACGATAACAATACAATGAACGCGAACTACCGAATCACAACGTGTCTCCACCTGATAAACTGTGGTGTCTCCTCTGTCCACCTGATAAACTGTGGTGTCTCCTCTGTCCACCTGATAAACTGTGGTGTCTCCTCTGTCCACCTGATAAACTTTGATGTCTCCCTTCACCATATATAGTATACAGCTTGATGTCTCCCCTCACAATATATGTTTACAGCATGATGTCTCTCCTCACCATATATGGTACACAACATAATGTCTCCCCTCACCATATATGATATACAGCTTGATGTCTCCCCTCACCATATATAGTATACAGCATGATGTCTCCCCTCACTATATATAGTATACAGCATGATGTCTCCCCTCACCATATATAGTATACAGCATGATGTCTCCCCTCACCATATATGTTTACAGCATGATGTCTCCCTCACCATATATAGTATACAGCATGAGGTCTCTCCTCACAATATATGTTTTTAGCATGATGTTTCCCCTCACCATATATGGTATACAGCTTGGTGTCTCCCCTCACCATATATAGTATACAGCATGATGTCTCCCCTCACTATATATGGTATACAGCATGATATCTCCCCTCACCATATATGGTACAAAACATAATCTCTCCCCTAGCCATATATGGTATACATTATCATATCTCCCCTCATTATATATGTTTACAGCATGATGTCTCCCCTCACTATATATGGTATACAGCATGATATCTCCCCTCACCATATATGGTATACAGCATGATATCTCCCCTCACCATATATGGTATACAGCATAATATCTCCCCTCACCATATATGGTATACAGCTTGATGTCTCCCCTCACCATATATGGTATACAGCTTGATGTCTCCCCTCACTATATATAGTATACAGCTTGATGTCTCCCCTCACTATATATGGTATACAGCATGATATCTCCCCTCACCATATATAGTATACAGCATGATATCTCCCCTCACCATATATGGTATACAGCATGATGTCTCCCCTCACCATATATGGTATACAGCATTATATCTCCCCTCACCATATATGGTATACAGCATGATATCTCCCCTCACCATATATGGTATACAGCATGATATCTCCCCTCACCATATTTGGTGTACAGCATGATATCTCCCCTTACCATATATGGTATACAGCAAGATATCTCCCCTCACCATATATGGTATACATTACGATGTCTCCCGTCACCTATATATAGCATAAGGTACACATCATGTCTTCCGTCACCACCTGTGGTACCAGAATAATGTCTTCCGTTATCCTACTAAGAGAAAAAATATACTGGGAAGAAGAAATAATCACATTTATCATACAGATAAGCAGCTGTTGTAGACGACACTGTCATTTCATAGGTAACTCTAAATGCTATATACGACAAACGTGGTCAGCAGGTTTCTCGTTATTTAAAACAAAATCTCAAAAATATCTTAAATGTAATTGAATTTCTAATACAGCTGTAAACGACAACTTTAGCATTAACGGAAATTGTTCACAAAATTTGTAGAAACTTTCCGATTCTTAAGTAATAGATTCCATCAGTTCCTCATTGTAAATATATGCACGTTTGTTTACTATACAACAAAGAAAACAAGTGTATGTAAGTTTTTATAAGGAAACTTGAGAGACTTTGTCCGTTGGCGGTTAATTTCACTTTTTGATAATAAACATTTTTGTTCATTTGATGGAGTAACATGATTCTATGTTTCCCTTCATTTATCATTTTAAGCGTGAATCATGACTCATATCTCTTCACGAGCAACAACTACCCATAATTTCCTCCTACACCATATCAGAAAAAATGTGATAACAGGATTTATCAAACAAACCACTGAAGACGTTTACATCAGTCACCCGGATGACGTCTCGAACGCTTCACGCACAGTTTTCTACGGTGGTCAAGGATGAGGCAAGTTCACGCACGAGATGAAAAGAAATGTCCTGTGATTGATATTATTCAATCAAGCCCGTGGACAACACTCGCACTTATCAAGTTCCTTTCGGTACCAACATGCTATCCAATAGTCTATGTCTTTCGTTTGTCCACATTTTGCCGTGGTTTATCAAATTGGAATTGGAATCAAGATTCTGTAGACATCTAGGTATTTTCTTTGTTACTACGGAAAACGAAAATGATTCCCAGGAGAACACAGAAGTGTGTAGGTTTTATTGCCGGCTCCTATAAAAAATATCACTTTCTAGCGTTTCAATACTGCATGGTTGACTTCGTATGGTTCAGTTTTGTTTGGTTCGATTTCTTTATATTTAGATTATTATCTTGCCTTCCGCTTTCTTTGTGATCTTCTCGTTGTCATCGAATAATATTAGGTACTTAATGTTTTGTACCATGGCTACACAAAGAAGAATTAAGAGTCACCAGGGGTTCACAAGGGGGCATCAGGATGTACCATGACCACAAAAAGAAGAATTTAAAGTCACCAGGGGTTCACAAGGGGCATCAGGATGTACCATGACCACAAAAAGAAGAATTCAAACAGTCAAGGGGTTCACAAGGGGCATTGTACCATGACCACACAAAGAAGAATTAAGAGTCACCAGGGGTTCACAAGGGGCATCAGGATGTACCATGACCACAAAAAGAAGAATTTAAACAGTCACCAGGGGTTCACAAGGGGCATCAGGATGTACCATGACCACACAAAGAAGAATTTAAAGTCACCAGGGGTTCACAAGGGGACATCAGGATGTACCATGACCACACAAAGAAGAATTTAAACAGTCACCAGGGGTTCACAAGGGGCATCAGGATGTACCATGACCACACAAAGAAGAATTTAAAGTCACCAGGGGTTCACAAGGGGCATCAGGATGTACCATGACCACACAAAGAAGAATTTAAACAGTCACCAGGGGTTCACAAGGGGCATCAGGATGTACCATGACCACACAAAGAAGAATTTAAAGTCACCAGGGGTTCACAAGGGGCATCAGGATGTACCATGACCACACAAAGAAGAATTTAAAGTCACCAGGGGTTCACAAGGGGCATCAGGATGTACCATGACCACACAAAGAAGAATTTAAACAGTCACCAGGGGTTCACAAGGGGCATCAGGATGTACCATGACCACACAAAGAGGAATTTAAACAGTCACCAGGGGTTCACAAGGGGCATCAGGATGTACCATGACCACACAAAGAGGAATTTAAAGAGTCACCAGGGGTTCACAAGGGGCATCAGGATGTACCATGACCACACAAAGAAGAATTTAAACAGTCACCAGGGGTTCACAAGGGGCATCAGGATGTACCATGACCACACAAAGAAGAATTTAAACAGTCACCAGGGGTTCACAAGGGGCATCAGGATGTACCATGACCACACAAAGAAGAATTTAAAGTCACCAGGGGTTCACAAGGGGCATCAGGATGTACCATGAGCACACAAAGAAGAATTTAAAGTCACCAGGGGTTCACAAGGGGCATCAGGATGTACCATGACCACACAAAGAAGAATTTAAACAGTCACCAGGGGTTCACAAGGGGCATCAGGATGTACCATGACCACACAAAGAAGAATTTAAACAGTCACCAGGGGTTCACAAGGGGCATCAGGATGTACCATGACCACACAAAGAGGAATTTAAACAGTCACCAGGGGTTCACAAGGGGCATCAGGATGTACCATGACCATACAAAGAGGAATTTAAACAGTCACCAGGGGTTCACAAGGGGCATCAGGATGTACCATGACCACACAAAGAAGAATTTAAACAGTCACCAGGGGTTCACAAGGGGCATCAGGATGTACCATGACCACACAAAGAAGAATTTAAACAGTCACCAGGGGTTCACAAGGGGCATCAGGATGTACCATGACCACACAAAGAAGAATTTAAACAGTCACCAGGGGTTCACAAGGGGCATCAGAAAGTTCAACATTCAATGAAGCGCTGACTTGCCGAAGGACATAACATTCTTAATATATAGCATGCAAGCGCCATGGTACACTCTGATTCTGTCTGTCGATTTTTCCTTCGTTTGGGATTAGAGTTTGACATTTCATAGGGAAAATATCAGTTTCGAAAAAAATACAAGTTTAAAAAGTTCTAGGAATCACTTAGTAAATAACTCCAGTATTCCTCGTGATGTACACAATACTAATACAATGATCTGTATTAACAGTGATCTTGACATACATTTCAATGTCAAGGTCATGGACAGCGTCCTTCATCCCGAAATTGTCAAAATAGTCTATATATGTGTAAAAATCCATTATCTAAAACAACCTTGATACGGATTCGAAAATAAATTCCAATCGACAATAATTATTAGTTTCTCTCCGATTTGATCTGATCTGTTTAGATACAACAGTTATTTATTGGCCAATAAATCAGACCCACACTTAGGAGTTTTACGAGTGGGTACAGAAATTGGATTAAATTGGAGACAAACATTCTGATATTGGCGGTGTGAGTAAGGAAAGGACTGTTTCTCTATGCTGCGCGATTGATGGAGTGGAGTTTGAGGGCTGCAATGTTAATTAACATAAAGCCAGAATTTAGATTGGAGCTGTTTTCCCCAGTGTGAGCTCAGACAGAGTAACACTGAATCGATACAAATACAATCTCATTGGACGAAAAAAAGTCAAATGTGAAAATAAATAATTATCCTACTTTATGTGATATCTATCTTATCTGCGATGAAGGTCGAGTGTGTGCTTCTCCTACATGTTGTGGAAGCTGTGAAACAAAGCAAAGTAGATTTAATGAAATTGACACTAACATGCGACAATAGTTAAAGTAATGGTATAGATGTAATGAAACTAAAGACCAGACGTGATACGGGTCCGTACCGACCCCCAGGGGGACACGGTTCTCGTTGAGAGGGTAGGGAGATTCTCCAGTCCACTTTGAAGATAGGAAGACTACGCGTGAATACCGTCTCTATGGGGACTGCGCATGCGTAGTTCACATCTAAATCGTTTGTGCAGTAACTAAGGGGAGCAGATATACGTGAGATGTTTGTTGCTACATTACCAGACGAACGACCATGTGCTTGAGAGCCTTGAACTAATTTGTTTTTAAAAGAACTTTTAAAACATTGAATTCGGTTCGTTTACGTTACTTTAATGCATTCGGAATTCATATAACAATGGGCCTGATTATACAAAGATGTGGTAGGACGGAGAAAAACAATATGTCATGGACAAAAATCAGGGCAACGAGGGAAAAAACATGAATATTATTAAATCTTCACAGAAATGTTTTATATGCCATAAAGAGGATGAAAATATGTTCCAGAAGGGTGAGCGTATTCTGCTTCATCGACAATATATGTCATATAGTGTGAGATCACATCCAATGAAAGCGACGTTAACAAACACGTGAAATATCAGGCATATATCACTTACATGGTGTTCCGAATGTGATCTGTATGGTTAAATGTCCTCGGTGTTTTTTCATTTTGTACTACAAGTTGTCTGTGTTTATTTATTAATCTAAAATATGCCGTGATGAATACAGATTTATAAACTGATTAAATATCTGACCAGACTCCCTGTGGAAACGTTAGTGATTTCAGTGAACACAGACATCTTGATGGAGGATTTGTTTGCGTTTCTACTTCTGGCGAAAGAGCTCCGCGTGATCTCATTTCAATGACAACACCCTTCAAACATCCTTCAAAGCATTCGTCATTAACCAACTATCGTTGAACTATAATTGTTTTCGGAATATACCAGTCTTTCTGGCTCAACACAGACTTAATTAAAATCCATTTTAATTCAAGTCTTGAAATGAATTTTTTTCTTTTTGCTTTTTTTAGCTTGGGTGGTGCGATGAGATCGGAGTAGCTGAACTCTACGCAAACAAATATAAAATATCATTCTAAGTTTTAGGTGGAAATAGGGCATCTTCCATTAGGTGGAAGTAGTAAAGCATCTACCAATAGGCGGAAGTAGTAGAACATCTACCATTAGGCGGAAGTAGTAAAGCATCTACCATTAGGCGGAAGTAGTAGGGCATCTACCATTAGGCGGAAATAGGGCATCTTCAATTAGGCGGAAGTAGTAAAGCATCTACCAATAGGCGGAAGTAGTAGAACATCTACCATTAGGCGGAAGTAGTAGGGCATCTACCATTAGGCGGAAGTAGTAGGGCACTACCATTAGGCGGAAGTAGTAGAACATCTACCATTAGGCGGAAGTAGTAGGGCATCTACCATTAGGCGGAAGTAGTAGGGCATCTACCATTAGGCGGAAGTAGTAGGGCACTACCATTAGGCGGAAGTAGTAGAACATTAGGCGGACGTAGTAGATATCTACCATTAAGCGAAAGTAGTAGGGCACTACCATTAGGCGGAAGTAGTAGGGCACTACCATTGGGCGGAAGTAGTAGATTTTCTACCATTAGCCGGACGTAGCAGAACATCTACTATTAGGCGGACGTAGTAGATATCTACAATTAAGCGGAAGTAGTAGGGCACTACCATTAGGTGGAAGTAGTAAGGCACTACCATTAGGTCTGTAGTAGCATTATAAGTATTGATCATTCTATAAGTAAGATAGCTTAATATATATTTATCTGTAAGTACTATGAATAATTCATATATTATCAAGCATCTTTTGAACACTTCAGTCCACAGCTCCACGCGCAGCGCTCGCGCCGTTACAGCACTTGGCTTTAATCGGACACGTCATATTTATAGCAAGGCTCAGAAATCAATCTTGAATGATTCAATTATTGCTAGTTTCATAGGACCAGACAAACTCGTTTCATATTTTTCGCTTAATGATTTGTCAGAAATTGTGCGGTCACAATCAATACAAATGAAAAGCCTTGATTGTAAAATGGGCTGAAAGCACGCTATAGACATGGACGGGGCAGTAGACAACCTGCTTTATTTGACGCAGACTGCACGTATAGATCGTGTACAAGTCGGACGAGCATTTATGTTGAGCTGACACGTTCGTTGGTGGTAAGACCATTAGGTGTTCATATGTGACAGTTATTTTTTGGTCTGTTATATATTACTCTACTGGTGCTGTGGTGATATACACTAGAACGACACTCTCCCTCCTCAGTATCGGGGTCTTCTGTTATTATGTAAAGACGTGTATGTTACGTTACGCCATTTCTTAGGCGTCCAATGTTCACAGATAGTTGTAATAAAAAAATAATAAAAAATGTCGGGGATCTCCCTTAGATTTAAACGCTATTGTGAATATGTAACTATGTTTCCTGTACATAATAAATATATTTTCTATGTCATCCTTCAACATTCAGTAGTTTATACTACAGGGAATGCGATTTCTAAACATGAGAAATAAAACTAAAAAATCTTCTGGTCATTTAACACAGGTAGCGACGTTAGCAGGGATGTTAATACACAGGTGATGATATAAGAAAAGGGTCAAGAAGAGAAAAGATTGGCTTATAAAGAGAGACGAACGTCTTTGATCTTGTCAACATTTCAAACAACATTTTGTAGATAATTGGTTTGCATAGACTTAAAGAAAATTACGTTTTAAAGGGTTCATTTATAAATGTATTTTTGATAACATATTAACATGTTGACTCTCAGTTTCTGTTAGTTAAACCTTAAGTGACCTAACTGTCTTATGTCAAATTGCCTTTTACGACCCCTTAATCTTTCAACACAGTAAAACAGAGAGAAAAGTGGTAGAATGACGGAAACAATAACTGATAGAAGATGGTAAAAGTAGAAAGTGAAGTAGACAGTGGCACACTTTTACATGCCAATGTTTAAAATGACTTAAGAACCTGATTTAATTGGTAAACAAACGGCTCGATAATCTCAAAGGGTTCAATCGTCTAGCAATGACGAGTTGATATAACGCCAGTCGCCGTCTCTTGTTTGAAAGTAACAACAAACCCTCTGTAGTAAGAAGTGTGTTTACTTTGGAGGGATATGTTGTCTGTACGCGATATAAATATTGACTCCTGTGCTTCAGTAAATAGTCAGAATAATGGAATCAACGCCAACGACTGTTGTATCATCTAACGAGTTTCAAAGATGAAAAGTTCCGGATGGTTGATCAATGTCACATCCGAGTTCTTCCTTTTAAAATAGGTACCGTCCTGCTTTCTCTCACTTTATTATAATTTATAGCTATTTCCGGTTTTATAAACAGGAATATCTTTTTTGTATTATACGATCTTGCTTTCGGATGTGACTGTTGTCATATATCACGCAATGGAGATGAAGCCTTGGTTAGCCAAGAAATAATTTAAAGATTTTATTTTTTAAGATTTCAAATTAACAACAGGATGATGACATCGCTGTATAGTCAGCCACCTTTATCAGATTTTCAGTGGAATTTTTCTGTTTTATTGATGTTTTTAACCGTTTTTATAACATCAAATCCGTGAACTGTTTGATAGCAATGGTAAGTATATATCAGATATTTTGTTATTTACTTGAGGTTATTCCTATTGTTTTTCCAGTCACAATAACAATCTGTTTTGACTTCGTTCTCACATCTGTGCTGTGGTGATTACTGTAATGAAGTCTGCCACAATAAGTCGAGAAGGTAGGTAGATCAAAAAGCACCAAGATCAATATATGTGTTTAATCTACTGATTACAAGCTCGATATCTGCACGTGAAGTGCACATGCAGAAAAGAGTCACCATTCCATTCCATTGGGTGCTTCAGTATGCTTCAAACAAATCACGCAGAGCTATCTGTTGTTCTTCACGTCAGATTCGGACATGGAATCTGCAGTTCTTGTCACTTAGGTATGAGGAACTGACCTGATCTTGTTCATCTAGTTTTAATGTATCAGATGTCATCATTTATTTCATACCTCTGTTAGGATTCGAACCCGAGACCCCTGACTTACATGTCCGACGCTCAAACGATCGAGCTAGAGAGAAGTTCTCTCTGACCAACCGGTATGTTGAGGCTAGTAATGTACCAGTGTTACATTAACATTATACGTTTATGATTGTCGGTTTTACACGGGGTTTAGAGACGTACAGGAGAAGTTAGATCGCGAGGAGATGTTGAGGTTGTCACCGCGATCTCGGTGGTAATTGTCTAATTCCTGTGTGTTATAAAGTTAGATGTATTCCATTCTCATTAGTATGTATGAAGGTTTCTTGTTATTAACCTAATTTTGTTTCAGAACGTGACATTTTATTACTTGGATTTACAAAGATTTATATGACGAATGTTGTTGATAAGGAGAAAACACCCAACATGTTGGTCTCCGTGTAAAATCTTACTTTGATTATATATTACCGTTGTTTTGATGAATATGAATTACAACATTTCGGTATTTTCTTGATGTTATTATTTCGCAGCTGGACTTGTTTGATGCTCGTTAGTTTGCCTGGTGGTTCCGTTAATCTCTCATTACTCATTACTCTCGATGAAGCGGAAGACGCTTACTCTTCCACAACACCTGGTCTTGTTATTATAAACCTTTTTTCAGGAGTCTCAATACAAATCTTTTTCTTTTGTTGATATTTTTCCTTTGTGTTATCAAATTTGAGTTTGGATTGTGAGTATGTTTTGTTGATTTACCAGAAGTTCTGCCCTGGTCTGTAACAATTATGGGTCGGTTTATCCCTACTAAAACCTTGGAATGTCGTTGTATCACTTTTATAATCAGTCTTTAAAAGAGCAATCTATAATTAAAATTGCCAGCGAGACATCAATCAAATTGAAAGACAAACTTGGGTACAATTGAATTTAAAGTACACCATACCCCCACCCTTTTCTCCCTAAAAAACCATGAGGTGACAAAAGAATCATTTCTGGGCTATTTCTGAAGCTTAATAACTTGTTCGGTCAGTCAGATATATTTTGGGCAACAATTGTGCAACAGTAATTGCGATTGGTTCGCTAACACAACCCTGGACGACCAATTTAATTGGTTACAATCCATTTTTTTTCTTCCCTATTTTTAGTGAGCTAAATGTGGTATTGTGTAAAGTGCATCAAGCTCATTTGAAAATAAAAACAGGTGCAGTATTATGTTTCCCTCTGGTAAATATGCTTCGCTACCTATTACTAAAAGTCATCCACGTTGGATTATAAAACATATATTATAGGATATTGTTTATAATTGTCTTTAAACTTCCGTATAGTGGGTATGTATTTAAACATATTACCTTCATAAAGTTCATAAGTTCAAAAAGTAATTCATAAAAAGTAGGTAGAGCTTGTAGAAAGATCATTATTACATGTACGTGTCCTCACATGACCTTCACATGACCTTCACATGTCACTCTTATCTCGTCCTCTTGATGGCTTCTGATCGAATTATATAGGTGTTAGCATATTGAATATTAACGACTTTTGTCTCTCTTATGTTTCTGAAAAAAAGGCATTTCCGCTTTGTTGTGTTCAATGAAACGTTTTAAGGTACGATGACTCAGCTGCAATTCCAAGTTCAAAAGCAACCATGATCCAGTAGACAAACCGGGGATAAAAAATTACTTTCTAATAAAATGTGTGAGAGTGATAAATAACATAATGTGTGAGATTGATAAATAATGAGTGAGAGTGATAAAAAACAAAATGTGTGAGAGTGACAAATAACAAAATGTGTGAGGGTGATAAATAACCAAAATGTGTGAGGGTGATAAATAATGTGTGAGTGATAAATAACAAAATGTGTGAGAGTGATAAATAATGTGTGAGAGTGATAAATAACAAAATGTGTGAGATTGATAAATAATGTGTGAGAGTGATAAATAACAAAATGTGTGAGAATGATAAATAACAAAATGTGTGAGGGTGATAAATAACAAAATGTGTGAGATTGATAAATAACAAAATGTGTGAGAATGATAAATAGCAAAATGTGTGAGAGTGATAAATAACAAAATGTGTGAGAGTGATAAATAACAAAATGTGTGAGAGTGATAAATAACAAAATGTGTGAGGGTGATAAATAACGAAATGTGTGAGAATGATAAATAACAAAATGTGTGAGAGTGATAAATTACAAAATGTGTGAGAGTGATAAATAGCAAAATGTGTGAGAGTGATAAATAACAAAATGTGTGAGAGTGATAAATAACATAATGTGTGAGAGTGATAAATAACAAAATGTGTGAGAATGATAAATAATGTGTGAGAGTGATAAATAACAAAATGTGTGAGATTGATAAATAGCAAAATGTGTGAGAGTGATAAATAACAAAATGTGAGAGAATGATAAATAGCAAAATGTGTGAGAGTGATAAATAACATAATGTGTGAGTGATAAATAACAAAATGTGTGAGGGTGATAAATAACATAATGTGTGAGATTGATAAATAACAAAATGTGTGAGAATGATAAATAGCAAAATGTGTGAGAGTGATAAATAACAAAATGTGAGAGAATGATAAATAGCAAAATGTGTGAGAATGATAAATAACAAAATGTGTGAGAGTGATGAATAACAAAATGTGTGAGGGTGATAAATAACAAAATGTGTGAGAGTGATAAATAACGAAATGTGTGATAATGATAAATAGCAAAATGTGTGAGAGTGATAAATAGCAAAATGTGTGAGAGTGATAAATAGCAAAATGTGTGAGAGTGATAAATAACAAAATGTGTGAGAATGATAAATAACAAAATGTGTGAGAATGATAAATAACAAAATGTGTGAGAATGATAAATAATGTGTGAGAGTGATAAATAACAAAATGTGTGAGATTGATAAATAACAAAATGTGTGAGAGTGATAGATAACAAATTGTGTGAGAGCGATAAATAATAAAATGTGTGAGAGTGATAAATAACAAAATGTGTGAAGGTGATAAATAACAAAATGTGTGAGGGTGATAAATAATGTGTGAGTGATAAAACGTACGTAATAACGACTGTTTTACAGTCATTTGCTCATTTCCCTGTTCTCCTATTTTAAATATCATTGCTTTAGTATTAGAACATATTTCATTGTCGCAGCTAACATGTTTGTAGATCATTTGTTATGCTTCGTGCCCAATTAATTTGGTATTATGCAATGACACACGTTTCGATAGAAAAACCGTCAAAACTAACAAGTCTATACGATATTGAAATTCAGCGTTCCACGAGAACATTAATTATGCATATTGTCCGCCCACACAGCGTTATTGGATTATGTTCACAAGCCTTGACGTGAAATATTGATCCGCAATTTGCAGGATTAATATTTTATGATTGTTTTTAAAAATAATTACATACGTACTCGCTGACGACAGTCAGCAGTATTCCGAGTTATTCAGTTTTACAGATATCAGATAACATCAGGATCAACATATTTAAACACACATTAGATATACTTTTTTTCAAATAGAGTTAAAATCCCGCAAATTCTTCAGAAACCTTGATAGAAAAATATAATTGAGACATATATATATGATCCAGATCAAAGAAAGACTTTTATGAGATATGTCAGTTTGAACAAAGGGATAGGTTTACCTATTGCGGATGGGAAATAGGATTCCAGTCATATCTTGTCGGGCTGCGGTAGACCAAGGTGTGTTACTGCGGTCGTACACAAAAATATCTACATACAGATGGATTATAAAAAATTGCACCCAACGAACATATATATGTTTTACAGTACACTGTTAAGTTGTATGTTCATCTAATAAAGACAAGTTACAATGACACGTTGTTAGCATGAAGTACAAGTAAAATGTAGTCATGTATAATTCTTAATAGTGTTACTGATGAACGGGTCACTTTCTTCGCGTCTTAAACTCAATGTCTACGTTCATTAAAAGACGGTACGTTTGGCGAAGAGGACATGGCAGAACAGCTCAAGGGGACGGGAAAAGGGACAGGTGGAATCGAACCAATGCCCACAAGAGGATAAGAGTACCATAAACAATTAAAACACATCCGAAGGAGGAGGAGGAGGGGAGAAAGAGGATGAGGGGAGGAAGGGGAGAAAGAGGATGAGGGGGAGGAGAGGAGAAGGGGAGGAGAGGAGAAGAGAAAGAAGAGAAGGGGTTGGAGGAGAAAGAGGATGATGGGGAGGGCGGAGGAAGGGGAGAAAGAGGAGGAGGGGAGGGGGAGAAAGAGGTGGAGGGGAGGGGGAGAAAGAGGAGGAGGGGGAGGAAAGGAGAAGGGGAGGAGAGAAGAAGGGAGAGAGAAGAGGAGAAGGGGTTGGAGGAGAAAGAGGAGGAGGGGGAGGGCGGAGGAAGGGGAGAAAGAGGATGAGGGGGAGGGGGAGGAAGGGAAGAAAGAGGAGGAGGGGGAGGAGAGGAGAAGGGGAGGAGAGGAGAAGAGAAAGAGAAGAGGAGAAAGGGTTGGAGGAGAAAGAGGAGGAGGGGGAGGGCGGAGGAAGGGGAGAAAGAGGATGAGGGAAGAAAGCAGGAGGAGGAGGGGAGGACAGGTGGAGGAGGGCAGATAGGAGGATGAGGGAAAGAGGAGGAGGTTAAAACATAGTAGTATTTCACTGGAGAGGGTGTTGGAGCGCAAACCCTGACAATATGGGATGGAAAAATATGATGTGAATAAAGATTACAGGAAAGACTTTCGAAATAATAAGGAGAGAAAGAAAGGCAAATTAATGGTCCATGATAATAAGAGTTAAACGAGTCATGAAGGAATTGAAAAAACCCCAACAATTCCAGAGAATTAGAATTTAAGAGAGACATAATTTCCCAGGGACCGTTGTTTTTTATCAACGTCGCTGAACTCACACGATGTGTTTGCATTGGATCTTATCACGAACATGCTGTAATCCCCAGGAAAAAGCTGACCGTAATCACGTTATCGGTAGGATTGTTTTCATCATATTCTCTGCTTTCATGCATAAAACGCATTCACCAGATATCTCTACAAGTTTGACCTTGAACTCTGACAACAAGCCTCACTGCAATATTTCTTTATGCCATGACGCGCAATATCTCCATGATGTGATTCGTGATTTAAATTATATCGTGAAATGGAAATTGTAAATATTTTTAGAAGGATGTTATCGATCGTGTCGGGACATAGGAGGAGGGGGGAGGGGGGGCTCGCATGTCCGTGATCGTACAAAACCATACATGTTCAAACAGACATGAACTCGTAAATCCATCTTTCCTCCAGCAGACAATATGTTGTATATAATAAACCAGCACAGAAATCCAAGGGTATTACAAGTGATAATATAACAAGGGATTTATAGATCTCTTCTGCAATTGGGCTGTATTTGTATTCTAGTGGTATTGGTAGAGAAGTTATACTCTCGGTTTACCATTGTATAAGTAGTACGGACGACATGTAAGTCGTATTTCTTTTACCTTAGTCTTAGTGGTACGTATAATGATTATCTTAGTCGATGACGTACATAAATTATATTCTTTTTACCTTAGACTAAGTAGTACGTAAATTGTGTTCTCTTATTACCTTAGTCTAAGTGGTACGTAAACTGTGAACTGCTTACCTTAGTCTTAATGGTACGTAAACTGTTTTCTCTGATTATCTTAGTTATTGTATAATTTTAATTTTGTTACAAATCTCGGCCTTAGATGAATCTACTTTTGAAACTTATTGGGTTGTCTTATTTATCTATAATTGTACATGAACAGCGATCTTCATTTACCTTAGTTTTAATGGCACAGTGATAACTTTTATGTAAAATATTTACCTCAATGTCAAACTTACTTCATCTATGACGTTATTTCATCTTTGTCAGTTATCACAATGTTTCCTAAATACCCGATGTACACTCTCAATATGCGAAAAATCGGTCAATGTGTTTCCATATCCATACATTTCATGACGTCACTCGCAGTTTGTCAATTTGACACACCATGACATTACAGTAACAGGGCTTAATTTCCTGGCCAGCTTTATGTAACGAGGTAACACAAGATGTGTGATGTTTTGTAATTAAGTAACACCTTAGTCGGCTACTTGTTACAATCGGTGAGTACAAGTTCTCCGTCCGTCATGGGGAGTTTAGTAGCAATCGGAAGTGTTATTATTGTCTAATTCTCACTTACAAGTGGTAAGAAAAAGGAATGCCAATTATGTAGCTGCTCTGTGATTAACTAGAATATCTAATATCAATTTGACACGCTTCCCTATGACAGACATGTCAACAAAACAGTTCTTCAAAATCAAATTAAATATGAAGACAGATTTCCATGGAAACTCCTGTAAAAGTACAAGGAGAGCTTGGTGACGTCACTCACTCAGCTGTTGTTCGTTTGATTAAAAAGCGATAGACGCAATCATATTTTCGGAGTTTTAAGTTGAAGTTCTTACCTTCTGATTTCAATTTAAAGTTATCCTTACGGTCACTTGTCTTTTCAGAGTATGGATATTCTTTATTGATATATCAACCAGTTCTTATCAGTGAGTAGAGCAGTGAACTTACGTATATTTATCGAGGTTCCGTTGTAGTATACCTTTCTCTCATTTGAGAATGTGACATTACAGTACTTACTTTGATTTCCAAAGATTTACATGGCGGATGTCGTCAATGAAGCAGAAGACGCTTATTCTTCCAGAACACTTGGTTTTAATCTCCTTGTACTTTTTCATGAATCTCCTTGTAAATCTTTCTCTTGTTCATATTGTGCTCAAGTTTTGTTGAATTTGAGTTTGGATTATCACTATGTGGACATGTTGGAATTTTCTTGCTGTTTTTTTGCACTAAGGAGGCTGTAATAATAATGTAACGAGAAAAAACTCTACACATTATAAAAACGACAAGCACGCTTCATATTAGATATCCTATTTGACACTCTATCATAATTGTTTAATAAGTTGAAATGGATGCCTATAGACTTATATATCAAGTTCGGATGATCAATCATTACTTGTTTAATGTGTGAATGGACTTAAGACACACACGAGAATAGCACCTCACATACAAATTTAGAGCTAGATACAGTAGAGTCAAACAATGAATTAAACCTCGTCATACGGTTGTTTCGTCCCTCTAGCATTCTTCTGAGGGCCTAAATTTGGAAGCCTAAGAGGCGACTAAAGAAAATCCCAAGTGATCGAAAGAAAAGTCAGGATCTATAAGGGAGGGTGTACTAGCCCCATGAATTAGAAAAAATCGCGATTTTCATGTATTTAGTAATTTTAAAACAACATCATGTACATATGTTAAACATTTAACATATGTTACAATATAGTATGCATGTTACCACAGATGTTTGGGACTTAAAGTCCACCAGCAGTGTTTACCACCTGCAAGAACAAAGCGATATATGGTATACAAATTGTAACATCATTTGAATGTATGCTATATTAGCATATATGCATATAAAAGTCCTGCCATCTAATCTAACAACATTAAATATCTATGTTTTCTGTGATAATTTGATTTCTTGCTAAATATTATTGTATGTGATATAAGTTGTTGTGTTTGAATTTTAAATACAACTTCTGTATATCTCCCTCCATGTGAATATCATTAATTGTGGATTACATGAATGTTATTATGTAACGAACTCATTTGACTGATTTCGAGGACCCAGAGGGAGACTTAGGCTAAATCAACTTGTACATCACCAGTACATCAAGTTCATTATTATGAATCTGAGAAACCTCAACAGATCATAATTTGATTGATGTTAAGACAGCGCCCCCATCAGTACGTAAATGAAAGTGCATTTATATTAAGGACTAGGAAAGAAACCCTCTCTCTTTACCTTGGTTATGCTGTGACCAATACTACTAGCGACATATTTACCATTAAGGACCAGAAACATTCACGATTTTCCTTACATCTCCATGATAGGTAGTATTTTGTATCGGAGCTCATTTTGTTTCCACACGTAAGTGCTCTATTGTCAGAAATATATGTCTTTAATTTCATTGTCGATGACCTGAGGTATGATGTTTAACGGGAAAATGTTTTAAGCTGAATAAATGAAACACGCCTTTATTACAGACTGGTCGCAGACAGAAAACCCCTCCAGTAGCTGTAGGAAATGATTATAGTTCACCAAGCATAATCATACAGTTTAGCTATTCAATTTTGAATTTAACTTTTCCACCTTCTCTACAACAAAAATCAATACCAACTCTTTGCGTCATAACAAATCCTGGATTCTGTTTGTGAATCTTGCAAGGCGTAGTTAAAGTAATAGTGTCTTTGGAAATCTAGGGAATTAGAAATGACACTTTGAATGAGTTTTTACTGTCGCTGTCATAAAATCGATTGCATAGAAATATATCTAATTTTGTAAGTGTATTTTGTATTCTATCTAACGTAGCACTATTGTGTTGAGACGGACTAGAGACACAGGGTAATATAGTACTTTTGTGTTGAGACGGACTAGAGACACAGGGTAATATAGTACTATTGTGTTGAGACGGACTAGAGACACAGGGTAATATAGTACTATTGTGTTGAGACGGACTAGAGACACAGGGTAATATAGTACTATTGTGTTGAGACGGACTAGAGACACAGGGTAATATAGTACTATTGTGTTGAGACGGACTAGAGATACAGGGTAATATAGCACTATTGTGTTGAGACGGACTAGAGACACAGGAGAATCTGATTTAATAGCTGGTGTTGTTGTGTGTTGTAATTAATATAGCACTATTGTGTTGAGACGGACTTGAGACACAAGGGAATCTGACTTAATATGTTGTGTATCTGTTGTTATCGATAAAAAAAAAATAGCAACATGTCACCTCGATAACTGCCGCCATGTAAGTCTTTGTCAATTTAGTAATATCAACGGGCAAACTAACGAGCATCAAACACGGTCTGTCAAATGAATATTTCTCAATGAAATCATTATGGCGACGTTTAAACTTCCCTGTAGTTTTCATCAACCTGCATCTCTTTTTTAGAATTGATTTAAACATATTTTATTGAACATAAGTAGCAATAGGATTGAACACAAGTTTTACAACTTATATAAAGTCAAAAATACAAATACAAGAATGTTCGTGTTTAGTTTTGAAGTGTTTTGAAAAAAATGTGTGCCCATATTTAGAAATTAATTTTGTTTCAATCTACCGATCCCTTAGTCGTACTTGATGTTATTAAATGATAGATTCGATCTTGTCCCGGTAAGTCGAGTTGTCATTCAAACATTGAAGTATTTTTCGAATTAGGTAACTGCAGTATTGATCATCACATATATTTCTACACTCGGTAAAATGTCTGGTCTGTTACTTTACTACTATTACCGTAAGATCATCAACTTGAAATAAACATTACACATATGTACATACATACGTTATCTTCTCAACCTACAATGTTCATATCCTTAAAAAGGTATGAAATTTGGACTAGACTTGGCAACAGTCTAGCTTTATGATTGAAGAAAAGAAAGTGTAGATCAGGTCTAACATTAATCATATTTTTGATATCGTGGAGTTCTGACTCGCTGGTGGAGAGATCCAGCTGATTCTCACTGGGTCATACATCCAGTGTTTTGT